ATGTTAATTTATTATTGAAGAAAGAAAAATATTTTTTATGAATTTAGTGTAGCCTAAGTGTGCAGTGTGTATAAAGTCTACGGCAGTGCACGGCAGTGTCCTGGCCTTCACGTGCTCTACTGACTCACCCAGAGAAACTTCCAGCCCTGCAAGCTCCATTCATGCTAAGTGCTCTGTCCAGGTGTACTGTTTTTTATCTTTTATACTGCACTTTTACTGTGCCTTTTCTGTGTTTAGATACACAAACACTTACCATGTGTTCCAGTTGCCTGCAGTATTTGGCATAGTAACGTGCTGTTCAGATTTGTAGCCCAGAAGCAGTGGGCTGTTCCATATAGCCCAGGTGTGCGGCAGGCTGGACCGTCTAGGTCTGTGTAAGTGCACTCCGTGATGTTCACACAGCACGATCGCCCAACAGCGCATTTCTCAGAACACCTCCCCATCCTTACGTGATACGTGATAGTATTAATACTGAAAAATGAGAGCGCGAGAGCACTGTATCTTAAATATGTGAGATGTACCAATCAAGGCCAAAGAAAAATTCAGAGTCTAATATTCATTTATTAAAGAAAGACTTATATTAAGTAAACTAAAAGAATAGCAAAATAACCACAAAGTGTGAAGGAATGCATATATAAAAATAAAAGCATAAATTAATAAAATATAAAACAAAAATAGATTTTATCTATAAACCCTAAAGCTGATTCTTTGAAAAGACCAATAAACAAACCTTCGTCAAATCCAATTTCTAAAAAAGGACACAGCAACATCAGGAATGGAAAAAGCAACGTAATTACAGATGTGGGGATTATTTTTAGAATAATAAGAGAATTTCATGCCTGTTCTGTGGCACCTTGGAGGTGATCAGCTACTTCAAGATGAAGCTGAACGTGTCCTTCCCAGACGCTGGCTGCCAGAAACTCACGGAAGCGGACAGTGAGCACAAGCTCTGTACCTTTCAGGAGAAGCCCATGGCCACCGCAGTGCTGCTGGAGCTCTGGGTGAGGGATGGAAGGATCACGTGGTTGTATTCAAAGGTTCGGATGACAGAGGAGGTTTGCTCCGGGAGCAGGTGTCTTGCCCACGGTTGTCCGCCTGCTGGCAAGTGAGGGCCTTCCTGCTACAGACCGAGGAGAACCGGAGAAAGGAAGCACACATCCGTGCAGGGCCGCATTGTGGATGCCAATGTGAGTGTGCTCGATTTGGTTATTGCAATGAAAAGGTAGAAGGATATTCCTGGACTAATACCCGGGGCCCAAAAGACACAGCAGAATCTGCAGACTTCTCAGTCTCTCCACCAAAGATGGCGTCCGCCAGTGCGCTGAGAAGGCCAAGAA